TTTTTTTTTTTTTTTTTTTTTTTGTTTTTTTTTTTGTTTCTTTTTTTTTTAATTCTTAAGTTGATTTACACACAAAATAATATTACATATGAGACCCGACAACATCTCCAGATTTACTTAATGGATTTTTGAAAGATCCAAATCCACGACCAAGTCGATCAGCAGATTTCGCTTGACCAGTGCTTTGTTTAGTTGTTAGCGGCGATGTGTCCGAGTGCTGATCTTGACCGGAGCTGCAATTGGATGATGGCGCAGAACTTGATTCAGATCTGCAACAACTTCAAACCGCATTTCAAAACTTCCAGGATTTTCTTTTTCCCATCAAGTACAATTTTCTCACAAAATTCCATAGAAATAAAGCAAATATAATCACCTTCAATTAAGTGTCATTATTAAGGTGGATTGATGGGAAGAGTAGAGCGTACTGTTAGAAACTTACGTTGTTGATAATAATGACTCGCTTTGACCATCACCACAACTGTCTCGCCTTTTATTAAAATCCTCAAACAGTCGCGGTGTTGAACCAATTGCCTTTGATGACGATAATAAAACCGACGAATTGTTAAACTGAATTGGCGATTTCTGCAACAAGCATACAAAATTTGATGAAAAACAAGAAATGTTCTTAAATTTTCAAAAAATACTTAGAACAACATCCAAAGTAAAAACGGAAACTGTGTCAGAAAAGTTCAAACAATTAGTAAAACTTTTTAACACTTACTTTATGATGGTTATTCTGACTACGTTTAAAAAGTTTATATAAAAGAATCGTTGCAAATACTGCAAGAAGAAGGAATCCAGCGAAACAGAAACCATAAATTACAGCGCTGGATTCAGTCGATAACGAAGAAGAATTTTCTTCTCTGCCTGTTACTGCGGGACCATTAGTATACATGATACCCCAACTGTTATCTGAAAAACTTTTTCATTATTAAGCAACACGATAATTTTAGTATTCAAAAAACTGTCGAAACCACATTACACTTACAGTCGACACAAACGGTTTTAGCAGATAGACTTAAGTAAAAGCAAGCGAGTAAAAGAAGGGATCTTTATACAACTTTAACCTTTCGCTTGTTCTCCGTCTTTACAAAACAAAAGGTACTGACATTTAAGAATTCGCTTAGCAAGGCAAATTTCAAAGTTGTACAGCAAATTTTCCTTCATCGATAGGTACTAAAAAACAGAAAGAAAGATTAAAAGTTTAACAGTACTAACCTTTGCAGGTGGGACAACATTGTCCACTAACATAGACTGGGTTTTTACAGGGAGCACACTGCTGTTCCTTACAGACGACTTGTCCGCTTCGCTCACAACTACAGTTGCGGCAATCGCCATCTTTCCACTGCTCATTGAGAGCATAGGCAGTGTTACTGTACTTACAAATCGATGTCGTAGAAAGCAAATCTAAAATGATACTCGATGCTAATCATCAAGTTTTTTACTATGCACAGACATCTATTTCTGCATATACAAAACCACTCAGTAAGTTACAGCATAAGAAACAAAAAAATTTAAAAGTGATAAAAAAACTAATCGACTTTACTTCAATAACCTTTATCTACTTTTTTCAATCATAAATGCTTAATTACCTGAACAAATTGAGCAACAACGCCCCTTTATAGTCAGCGGTATTCCAAAACAATCCTTCAGAGGTGGACATTTCTCTTTAAAACATTCAATTTTCCCCTCATTTTCGGCTGACACAGTACATCTAAACAATAAAACTGTTACTTTAAATGAAAACTTACTGAAATTCTATAGTTCAGTCTTTACTCAATAGCTTTTCTGTGGAAGTTTTCGCAAATAAATAGATCAAGATAATTTTTCCCGCTTCATCTAAAAAAAAAATAAACAGCAAAATTTATCTCAATTTAAGGATTTTTGCTTCTTTTTGCTCTGAGATTTTCTGCTCTTTTTTGCTTTTATTTGCTGCTCCTAATTGGTGCCACAAACGGCAACAGCCCTCTACTTTCATCGCAGGTGAACAACTTGGCAAACCTGCAAGAAACGCATTCGTCAACTCTCCAAGACGATCCTACTAGATGAGCAAGACCGGTTTCATCTTTGCAAAGTATATTATTGTTAGGTATTATTGCAGTTTTCGCTCCCTCTTCTTCAGGACATCTGGAAATTTGTCACTTAAGTGAAACGATACTTATAAAAACGAAAACGGCAGTGACTTAAATACTTCTTGCATGTACAAATTCTCAACGACAGCCAAATTTATGAAGTAGACACAGAAGATTCCATTGAACCAATACTTTTGACAACAAGAGTCGGAATTATTAATTATTGGGTGTTCGCATAGGAGCGCTGGGCACTCTACCGTACGGCATAGTACATGGCCGATTCGACAAGTACAGGAGGTGCATGGAGTCACTTCCCAAGTCTCACCATCAACATACAAGCGGCCAGCACTTTGGCACACAGTATGCTCGTGTTTTACGGGTACACGTGTTGGTTGGCTCAAGCACGTCTCACAACATGCACCTACAAATAAAATTATTTCTACCTTTTTAGCAGAGATTTATTTAGATAGAACGTCCTAACAGAAGTTTACTTGAAACATTAAAAGTTTCAGCAAACGCATTTTTAACAGACCAACCATCTATTTTTTTCCACTGGTCATCGGGACAGCTTTCGTTTTTAGGAGGGCATGTTATCAATGAGCAATATTCCTTAATATTTTTAAATTTCAAAATAAGCTTTTAAACTGCATATTCTTTACAGATTTAGAGAAATTCTAAACGATAACTTCTAATGTCAAAAAAAGTACATGTTTCTGGTCGCAAAAACAATTTCTACAACCGTCACTCCACCATTCACCGCTATCACGTTCGAGTTGGCCAGTTTCTGGACTAGATGTATAACAAACATCAGAACCTTTTCTATCCTTTCTCAGCTGTGTTTGATATGTGGTTTCATTGCGATCTATGACTGAAAAGAGCAAAATGGCTATGGTGTTAATAATCAAAATATGTGGTTTAAACAATAAATAATAATACTGTTCCTTAGTCGATTAATTATAAACTGTACAGATAAATAGGTACCTCGACATTTGCAGATAGGACAGCCATAAACATTGGATTCAAAACCATAAAGACAATGTTTGTAACACTGATGTAGAGGTGGACATTTGGCGCATTTGCAAGTCGCGCAACCTCTGCCATCCCTATCATAACCGTGTGGACAAAACCTAGATATTACTGCTTCTGCACTAACGTAAGTATCAGTTGTAAACAAAAAATGGTGACTATACGTCCTCAACAGAATTTATCCAGATAGATATATGTTTGGCAGAGAAAGCATCAAGAACATTCATGATTAAATGTCGTTACTTGTCACATGTTGTTTCTGTCAACTCTGAACAATTGGGTGCGGTTGGCCGAATCATAGGAGCACAAGCGCACTGAAAACAACCCTGTGCATCACGAAGAAGACCATATTCGCATCGTAACGGACAATGTTCCATTGCTGGACATGTCAACGGATTTGCCATAAACAGAGGTGCTGCAATAAGATACAGTAAGTTCTACTACTATGGTATCCTCAAAGAACGTTTTCATCAAGAAGAAACGTACGAGTAGACGATTGATAGGAGAAAAATAAAGAAATATGGGGAGAGTGAGGGTGAAGGACAATTACCAGTTTCATGAGCAAGTAGAAAGTGGACATTATTAACAGCTCTGATGTTATTATTTTTATTACCACTGTTGTTGTTATGATGATAAAAATGATCACTATGATCATAGTGTTATGAACGATATTATAAAAGATCACTGCTGTGTAATATGTTTGAACGTAGCCACTTATCACCGTTTAGATTTCTTTTTTAGGTACAGCGAAAATATTGTACAGCAGTAACAACATCAAGGATATAACAAAAATTAGTATAAAAAAATATTAAGAAAAAAATTCATTTGAAAACTGTTAGTCGATTAAAACGAAGGATGTGATGGGAAAATCTAATGGGATAACGTCAATTTTTTCTACTGTAAAAGCTTATTAATTCTTTGTTTTTCTAAACCTATAATAAGAACAACAAATGTAATGATCCTTCACAAATATACTTCTTACTCTTCCTTCGTCCGCCCCTCTAGTCTCAATTCATTAAGAATTGCTAATCTGATATGATTTTGGCCATAACTGTAGTAAAATAGCTGTTTTTTCTCTTTTTTTTCTTTATACTGCTCTAATTCTATGTCTACTTTCTACTGAATTAGAGTCTGCAATTTCTGTGTGTTTATGCGTTGCTATAAAATAATTTAATAAATGAATAAATAAATGATTCTGATAAATAAGCAAATTTTTGCTAAATTGTAATAATAAAATTACAAAAAAGGCAAAACTAAATCTAAAAATTATTTTTAATATTTGACAGATTAATTATTGCGTTTTGTCATTTCCTTTGCAGTTTTCTTCTCCCGAACTCCGCTCCGCAGGACCTCCTATCTTCAGCTTTACCATACCTCTACTACTTCTCTAATAGTATAAAAAATAATAATTTTATAAGTTAAAACGCGTTTTTCAGAACATATTCATTGCAGAGTAATTAGAACTGAGTTCATTCTGAACTTGATAACCGTAACCGCTTAAGTTTTTAATGGCAATTAATTTTACTTTAGTAGCGTAAATTCATTATGCCAGCTTGATGCGATACTATTTCCAGCAGTAATATAGTTTATTGCTGCTAACTGCCATAACCGTTCAAGTAAATTTATCTTTTTTTTTTTCATTATTTCCTCTGAAGTGAGGAACAAAAATAAAAAACTCAATGTTGTAAAAATAATGGTTATTATGTAAATGCATACCATCACAAACTGGACAACATTGTCCAGGAACTTTTTTGGGATTGTCACAGTCCACTTGACACATATGCTTCTGACAATGATGAACTCCTTCAGCAGCGCACGAACAACTAAACCGTATTTCCATATTTATTTTTTTGAATTTTTTGCTTCATCAATTATTAATGTACAATTATCTAATGATAACTATCTGGAGTTGCAGAAAACAAGGTAACAAAAAAAAAAATTTTTTTTTAACCAGATTTTGAAAAAGAAAAGAAAAAAAAACAAAAAAAAAATCTTCATGTCTTCAATTAAATTTTTGAAAATTTAAAAACTGCTAAACAAATACCTGGTGCAATCATCTTTTTGCCAAGTTTCATTCCTTTTCCGTTTAATTCCATCCGCTTCACAACCCATACATACCGGGCAGCACTCACCTTCTGGAACTTCCACCCAGGTGCAATCAGCTAAAACCAACAAAACAACAGAGAATTGGTACTATTGCTAATTTATAGTTTGCTGTACAACGACTGTCTATAAACTACAACTGTAAATGACTTCACCGATACCAAACTTTCTGCTAACTGTTTTATCGCTTCATTCATTCCATTCACCCACTTTATTCATTCCTTCTTTATCTGCGCATCAATTCATTTCACGAATTTCTAGTATGATCAACTGAAGTTAATCAAAAACAAAAGTCAACTAACGTGGCGGATTTGGGCATGACATTTCACTACAGAGAGCAATCCCCTCTTTGCATTTACACTGCTTACAGCTGCTGGACTGCCATATTTCGCCGTTTTCATGGGTTTTCCCACCGTGTGGACACTTCTTTGCATCAGCATTCTGATCTTCATCGCCACTTTCACATTCAATGTCGTCACAACAGCGTCCCGGTGTACCATCACCTTAAAATTTGTTTGCAAAACATTAACCAACCTGCTGACATTCGTATTTCTTGCAAACAAATAATATTGATGCCTAAATCTAAAGTTACAACTTAACAAATAAATCATTAACATATAACTTCTTTGAGTCGTTTCAGTTCTTTATATTTTTCTGCTTTAGTCGATAAAAAAAACTGCATCGAAATAAGAGTTAAAAAAAAAAAGAAACACACTGATAAATTGTCTTACAATTTTGAATACAGCACAGTCTAACAGTTCTAAATTGTTTCAGTGTAAAAAAATATGACTGAAATTTTATAAAGCCACTCAGATAGGAAAAAGGAATGTTTTTTTTTGCAGACGATAATATGAAAAAAAGAGAAAAATTCATATGCATTCATCTGTTAAATTTAAAAACTAAAACGCTAACTGGAATTTAATCAATCATATATTTCAATTTACAACAAAAAATCTTGAAAAAAAAAAAAATTTATAAAAAAAATCAAAAAAACTATAAATTTCTTTAATTTGTTTTATTGAAATTTCCAACCTTTACGAATTATTTTAACTTTTTGGCCTTCTCGACAATGTGCAGGTGCGCAAATTGATGCTTGACAACGGCAACTGAAATATCGGCAAAAACACCTAATTTTATGGAATAATTCCTGATCATAAATGTTCATCAGATTACATTTTTCAATTACATTTG